AGAAGACAAGTAAATACAGCTGACAAATTCGAACTAGATTATAAGAAAGTTTGCCCTCTCCCATATTCATGGATAGTTCGGAACACGTGAATGTCCGGTTCCAAAAGTGTGGTTTCGGTATGCAGATGACAAGTTAACAGTGATGAAATTAGGGCATACACGTAGCTTATTCCCGGACATAAAGTCATTAGTCAACGCACTCCAATTCACCCGTGAATTAGAAAATAGTGAAAGGGGAATTACCGATGTTGGATTTCCAAATAAAAAGGAAACAAAGTGGGAGTTTGGACACAAGTGACTACGGAAAATATTCATATCCAAATCGCTAGTTATACTTCGAATCATCTCCCCTTATGTCAAAGTTGACTTGGCAGAAATTCTAAGCAACAGGGACTGAAACCTTACCAGCAAAACGGAAAATCTCAAACAAGAAAACAGATAGATTGAGGACAACTTACACATCAACAATTATCTTCCTAAATCAATTCATTAATTCCTTAGGAATAGTAAGAAAAATACAACGAATATTCGTAACACAGTAGTTAAAATAATATTGTCAATAACGATGACAATACTGTGAAGAGAAAATGGTAACCTCTACAGTATTACCATACAAGGAAAGCATCTCAGAGATATTATGTAGAATTCTCAATGAGACAGCGATTAGAGTGAAATTTGAACTTACAAACTGACTTAGAAGTAAACTTTTTCCGTAGAAGATCCTGTTGAACCAATTATAATTATTATTTATCCTACGAGTTCCTAGTGAAACATAGGACTTCAAGAGCATGTCACCATTTCACTTTCTTCTCCCCAGTCTTCTCAACCTGAATCCACCACTCCCCATCAAATTTCATCTCTTCTTCACACAATCTCCCCATCAATGTCAACCTCCACTCAGACGACCAACTCGTCGTTTCCCATTCAACTTCCACTCGATGGTCTGTCATGGTGTGGCGCGTGATGTCCCCAAACAGTCTTCTCAGTCTATGTCCAATCCAATCCAATCCAATCCAATCCAATCCACCTCCACATTCTCCTTCTGCATATTTGTTGGACGATCGATTCTTGGTTGGTTGGTTGGTTTGTTGGGTGGCTGGCTGGTTGGCTGATTGGTTGGTTGGCTGGTTGCGAGGCCATCCAGTGTTCCTTATTGCTTATTCTTATTATTCTGGCCATCTGATCTCCATCTTCAGTACTGAGTGAGTGTGAGTGTATGCTCAGGCATAGGCAGCAGCTGTTGATGTGTGTCTGCAGTTTGTTGGAAATGCTTTACGTGACGCGCCAAGTTTCTGAACCATATAGGAGTACCGAGTTGATTCAGATGAGTGTTGAGAACCCGGATCTCTTTCCGGCTTTATGCTGAGTACAATGCAGTGCGGTGCGGTGCATTGCAGTGCAGTGCAAAGCAGTGCCTCACCTCGCCTCTTCTGCCAACTTGTTAGTTTTCGCCTGTAGATATTCGAGTTTGTGTGACAAGACATCAGACATAAATCATCATTGACGAAATACAAATCTTCTGTAGGCCTTTCATCCGTCCACTCAGCGTATCGCCCCATTCTCACCCCTCACATTTCCTCACATGATACAGTCCTCTTCACAACAATCACCTAGATGATCGGTGATAGTAGGCAACCTCGTCTTACCTGTCAAACTCTCTTCACTTCACACGCATCACTCAGCTTTCCATTGTGAATCACTCGGCATGTAACATCGTATGGCATGCAGCTGCTGTCGAATGAGGTTGATACAGGTTTGTGGCACTGAAACAGTAGTGTTGAAGCAGCTGCCCACTAAATTGCTTCTTTGTCGATGCCTCGACTGAATGCCTTTTCAAAACTGATGGAGGTGAGGTGGAGGTGCAGGTAGAGTGGAGTGCCATTCTATGCTCTGTTCTATGATGATGATGCATAGTGTTGCGTTGTGTTGCTTTGCGTCTTGTTGCGATTTGATCTGCACATGATTTGTTCTTCCTGAATTCAGCCAGCCAGCCAGCCAGCCAGCCAGTTTGCCTACCTGTTCCCATCGTATTTTGAATCCAGCGCATCATTTAGTCTCTCCAGGATGATGTCGCTTAATAGTTTGCTTGGGGTGTTCGGCAGTGGAGCATGATTCCGCACCAGTTCTTCAAAGCACTCAGGTCATTCATCCTTCTTCTTGAGTTTAACAAAGCAGCCCTTCCCACAGTCGATCAGCAGGTACCTTTACTTCCTTCCATCCGAACCTTGTGTAGTAGTGGTGTGAGTATGTCTGGTGTTGTCTCTGTGTGTGTTTTCAGTGCTTGTGGAGGGATTCCATTTGTTGCTACTGCATTTGTGGATTTCAGCATCTTTATGGTGTTCGGGACTTCACTTCTGCTTTTGTTGGAGTGCTTGTGGTGACTGGTTATTCTGTCTCCTGGTGGTATTTCTAGACGAGTTGCAGGTGGTGGTCGATTTAAGAGTTTTTTGAAGTGGTCAGTCCACTGCCTTTTTTGTTTCTCCTCGTTGCTAACTAGGTTTCCTTCGCTAACTTTCATTGGTTACGTCTGTGTTGATCTCTTCCTAGATAGTGGTTTTTAATATTGTCAGGTCTCTGTCTCTCCTACCTGTAGCCTGTTCTACTTCACTTGCAAGTGTGTAGCAGAAGTGTCTTTTGTCTTTGCACACACTCTTCTTCACTTCTTGTCCAGTGTTTTATAGGTTGTGTTCAGTCCCTCTTTTCGTTGTTCACCCATGCACTGTACTGCTGCATCTGCTTCACCATCTACCGCTCCCCACTCTATCAGCTTCCATGTGTCCGTAGAGATCCATTCCTTGTCTTGTTTCCTCTTCCCTCCTAATACGGTTGTGCAGGTTTCTTTCCATATAGCTTTCAAAGACTTCCAGTGTTCTTCCACGCAGGTTACTTCAGGGATGTTGCTCATGTCTCCAATTTTGTCCTGGTGGCTGACGTGAACATATCCCCTGTAGTTCCGTCCTTCACTTTCTGTTCTGCATGTTGAACTTCAACTGTCCTCTATCACCAACTTCTTTGAAGGCTTTCAACTTGATTTGGAAGGTTGCTTGCACTAGGTAATGAATGGTGTGAACCTACATCTACTTCCCTTCTTCATCTTGTGTCCAGTAGGCTGGATGCGTCTCCACTTTCTTCACATTGGGATGAAGTCGATCTAATGTTTAGTATGTCTGGTGTCTGGTGAAATCCATGTCGCTGCCTTGTGAATATCCTTGTGTTTGTACACAATACCTCCAATCACCAAATCGTTGAATACGCAGAAATCTGCAAACAATTCTCCATTATCGTTCATTTCACCAAGTGCTTCTCGATCTATGATTAGTCCTCTCCTTGTGTTGTCCGCTCGCAGTTTGGCATTCATATCACCCCACCCATAAGAATTTAGTTGTCGCTAACTGCAGCCTTGTCCTGTACTGATTGCACTTGTCTGTAGAATTTCTCCTTCTTCTCTTCATCTCCATTATTTGTAGGTGCATAGCGTAGCGTAGCATTGTATCATTGTGACTTTCATTCCTTTTCACTTAGATCTTCCCTTCATGATCCTGATCCTGGAGGAGGAGATTGCTTCCCAGTGCATGAGAGCCTCAGATGCTCTTGGGACATCATGATAGCTACTCAAAAACTCAGTGTGCTGTGCTCGTGGTTGTCGTCTGGGTGACAATATCAGAGTAGATTATTGACTCCTCATTAGTTGACAGTTTGCAGAGTCCACTTCCATTCCATCTGTAGATTCTTCACAGATTCCTACCACTGCTATGCCACACCTTCTCATCTCTTTCACAATCTGGTTAGCCGATTGGATTCCTGAAGGCTTTCACCAACCGGCGTCATTTCTTCTCTAGGATTTCGGCGAGGAATAAGTTTGTTTTAATTTTTTATATTTTCTTTTTGCTAAGAAGTTTGTTTAGCGATTGGATTGGTTTTCTGGGTTAGGGTTGCTAGCCCTATACCCAACCTTCCTTCTTTATTTGGGTTTAGGGTTGGCCAGCAACTAGTGAACTAGTTAACCTAGGGAGGTTGAAGGGTCCCATACTGGAACGAAACAACCATCCAGTCCTCCAGTGCTTGTCCAAATGATGTCAGTTCGTGATAAATATTACACTGAGGTTTTTATTTATTATGAGTTTACATGATGTGTCTTAACTTATAAGAAGATTTTGTTTTCAGCTTTACCCCAGGAATTGTATTGTTTTACTATTACTTTTTTGACTTCATTTGTAATATGAATTACAATGGGATACTGTCAGTCTGTTCGTTAAAGATCAATCAACTGTACTCAGTGAATACCTAAACCATTTTAATGATGGATTGCGTCTAACTGAATCAAACAACTTGAAGGATCTACTTCATTCAGCAGTGAAATGAAGTATTACCACTGTTTAAGTCTTATGCGTAGTAAACGGTGACAAGAAACAGTGTAGTTAATTTAAGCAGTAATAATTTCATTGGGATTCATTCCTTGGAGTATGCGAGTTTGCAGGAAATCCACTGGTTTCAAAGTAGTTTTTTTTCCTTGATTGGTATCTACTGAGCAGTTTTCACCAGTTAGCACTTATGAACGTGTACCAGATATGGATCCCAAGATTATACAGTTGAGCAGCAAATAAACTGATACTCAGTGATGCGGCTGGCATTCAGTGATTCACATTTCACAGCTTTCTATTAGAAATTCTGTAAATCTACCTCAAAGTGAGTTATTATTCATCCCCAACTGATTGAATTCCAAACATATGAACTAGTGCCACCATTCTGAGTTGCTGAATACATGAGAGAGGGGTAGTGACGGTTGTCAGCTTCTTTCTTTATAAAGTAGTTTATATGTACGTGCAGTTTTAAAATGCTTTTTTCTAAAACGAAAAAATGTCACATACTTCATGGCTTTAACTAACTCACCATATGGTAATTCTAATCCATGATGACAACTTGTTTATCACGCTGACTATTTGAAATATGTCAATAACCGTCTGTAGATGTTAAAAGATCTCTTGATTATGCATTGATAGGTTTGATCACTTCAACAGCTACAGCAAACATAAAACTGGTCAATACAAATCACTGGCAACTGTTGACATGTCATGTTGATATGCAAGCATACAGAAATGTAAATCAAACATTTAAAGTTATCCATCTAACTGATTATGGTAAGCGTTTAAAAGTAATTTTTTTCGCTATTACTTGAAAGTGAATTGTTCACTTGAACAATAGTTTTTCTCCTAATCTCTCAGTCCACTTGTAGTGTTGACTAGTACTAAATAAACATTGCAAGATTTGTTAACATTTGATTGATAAGGCTAAGTTGTATTTGAGCAAGAAAAAGATGACTGCCTTCCATTCTTACATATTCTCATTACTCGTCGACAAGAGGGATCAATTAAACGATACGTCAATAGGAAATCTTCGCTGGAAGGACAGTACCTATACTATAATAGTTTCTGTTCACTTCAGTATAAGCGGGCACTAGTCAAGTGTCTTTTCAACCAGATTCAAAGAATATGCACAAACAGCACTTCAGAGGAAGAAATATAAAAGATCATCAAAGTATTACTAGACAACAGTTATCTCCTGAAATCTACTAATCATAACAGAAATATTCATTGTCAAGTCATTCACAGAGGAAGATGTTTGTATCAGGCTGTCGTATATGAGGAATTCCCAGAGTCTGATAACCAAACGGAGACATAAGGCAACCATCTTTAGAACATACTGTGCGGCAGATATCAACATCACAGAGAAAATGGAACTTCTGTACTTCTGTACATCCTCATAACTTTTGAACCCTGGAGTAACATCCACTTGCATTTATCAGTTTACATGCACATGCGGTGACATGTAAGTAGGGAAGACGCGTCGATCCATACAAGTAAGGACGTCAAGTACATTGCAGAAAGATTCCAACAACAACTCAAGTGATCTCACTGAACCAGGCAATAGATATCTAGCTTCATTTTCAGCTAAGCGTATCAATGAAACAAGTCACAAGGTTGATGTATACGTGTCTTTCAAAAGTGCATGCATAGCCTATTGGGAGCATATGTGTAGGTTTGTTGAAGCTGTCTCTGTAAGGAAGCTTTGACCACTTTTATGTATTCAAAAACAATTTGTTGTTACAGTGAACCTACCTAAGTAACTCGACTTTAATATCTAGGGTGATTAACATACTACCTTTCTTATTCAATCTATCATTTAACCTCTAGACCAACAAGTTAAACCTTGGTATATCGATTGTTATTTTTCAACCCATTTATCTTTTGTATGAAACCTGGTTAAGATTTGACTGGATAGTTTCACGAATATTGGGCACCGAGTGAAAAGTTGACACTAGATATAAGTTATATTTAGACAAATCTCAGCTTGTTTGAAATTCCGACGTTTTGCATAGAAGTCTGGTCTGAGCTTTTTAGGGAAATAATCAAAATCTACACTTCAGGTTGAACGTCATCACGGACTGATATCATTTGGAGAACCACTAAAAGCCTGAGAGCACTGGACAGCTGTTTCATCGTAGTATGGGTATCTTTAGCAATACGCACCCATAACCCGGCTAAGGATCGAACTCGATCCGTGATGAATACTACCTCAAAAATTAAAATCTCCATTCACCTCAAAATCACATATGACTTCTATTAATATGTATTTCATGATATTGTAAATACAGCACACACATGTATACTGGCTTACATCTGTGCATCATACGTATCACTGCACCATCATATGAATGATTAATAAGTCTACGGAGAAGCAATCATAATCCAGTCAAGATTAGAACTTTATGATTTCTGACCTGTTATATGTTTCTATATCTACGGTAAAGTAGATTTTGATTATTTCCCTGAAAAAGCTCCGAGCAGACAAACTTCCATGCGAAATGTTGGAATTCTTATTTCATTAACAAGAACAAGGCATGTATCAGCAAAGAAATATTTCTTTTCAAAGACTTCATTATCAAGCTGTACAGTAGTCGTATTTATACTCAGAAAAGTGACAGATAATTCCACTAAAAAGACACCTGCTCAGTCAATATGCAAAATATACAATCGGTGGAGGTGGTGGTATTTGTTCAAGTAGAAGAGATAGAAAATGGGTCACTGAATAAGGAGGAACGAATTGATAACAAGTGGTGAGATAAGCGACAAGTGTTGTCAAAGAATTGTAAAACGGTGATAATTCAGCTGAAACGTGTACAATAGGTCAATGATTAAGGAACGAATTGATATTAAAGAGTGAAATATGGTTCAAATGTTGTCAATGAAGTGAAAATTGGTGATAATGGTGATAACAGAAGAGAAGTATACCAAAGTGAAGTGAAATTGATAAAATCAACAAAATGAATTGTTAAGGCCAAGGTATAGAAAGTGTGGTTTCACAAAGCGTTTTTGAATGCAAAGTTTCGGTTTTTGTTCATGTATAGCTAATGCCTCAACTATGCATAAGTGGTGGAAGCGTAAACCTTTGGAGTAGTTCAATTTAACTTTGTAAATTATTTTCAAGGATGAATCTCGAGGTGCTGAGTGTCCAAATTCAACAAGGTGTTCACATACAGATGAAGTCGTTTTCCTTTGTTCGCCTCTGGTAAGCCAAACCGGGTAGTGTTCAGCAACACGTTTTCGGAAGGCCTGCTTACAACGTCCAATATAGTCAGCTCCACAGGAGTGTGTGAACTTGTAGATACAAATAGAAGTGGACATAAGTGGAAGCCTATCCTATCTTATTTCAAACAAGCTGAAATTCGTCCAAATATAACTTATATCTAATGTCAACATTTATCCTTCGTTATGCTTCATGTAAATAGGCATGATAAGTAAGTGTGGGTGTGTGTAACCAAACTGATCATGAAGTGTTTCAGATGAACTACGTCTTCTTGTTGTTCTGTCGATATTTGCTAAGGAGACTAAAAGGTTTCAAGTTATTAAAAAAGTATTCAAGTAGTTAGTACTAAAAATATGTCAAAATGGGAAGATGGAAAGAAAATAGAAAATTTGTTTGTAAGATTCTTACACACATGATCTGATTAGCTTTTCTTTTGCAAGTATATTTTATGAAGAAAATGGTAAGCGATTTCGACTTTTGCAATGAGTGAAGATTATCACGGAAAATTTTCAAAAAGTGAAGGTTGAATAAAAGTGGGAAATGAAGCATTTCTGGAGGGTAAAGACTAAAATATATTCAAAAGATAATATTATGGATAATAAGACTGAATTTGAAGAAATATCCCTGTTAATACTACATCTTTGCCAACAGCCAATGTTTTACATTCCATGTGTTTTTAGATGAAGTGTAATTTGTGACCTTCAACTGCCCTATCTTATTTCCGTCATCTCTCAGCGTCCAAGCCTACTAATCGACACTATCTTACTTGGTCAGTCAGACAGTAAATCAATCACTTCTCTTTTTTTAGTCTGTATGACGGGATGCACCAGTGGGCAACCGACGTGGCTGTCTAGTTTTGAGCACTCAGCATCCACTGCAATCTATCCACCAAGTTTGCAATCTAGTAGTTGACATAAATGACACAAGTTTGAATTATTATGCAAGCATCAATTTCAGCAAGGTTTGCCGACACGGCTTGCTCATGATCACCAAAAAGCATGGAACCGAGGTCATTAAACGGTGGAGGTTCCCACAGATTAACTCCTCATATCTAAAACAACTTTTTCATACAGTACTTTTAGATCGCAATGTAAACAGGATACTTAAGGAGGAAGTTATGCTATTTGATCACAGATTTTCACAGTGAAATTCAGCAGCATGTAACTTAAGGTAATACAGAAACTTTACGAAACTAATGCAGGCTACTTCTAAGGCCGTTTCTTCATCTAGTTATCAGGAAACGAAAAACGACTGCAGACAATGAAACTCTAATAAGTTCATCAGTAATATCTTTTGATATATTGACTTGTCATTGTAGATTAGGTCATTCTATCTTGGTTAAGTGAGCTCTATTAATTAATTTTTTAATGTTTTCCTCAAGTAGGGAAACTCTCCATCCCAGTGTACAATGAATAATAGATTATTATAGTAAGTAGTCATCACTAGGGTGAATGGAGTTGTAGATTTATCGAACAAATTTTGAAGTTGAATACTTCATTCACCTACCTGGATTATATTAAAAACGTGTAGTAAAAAGAGTCATTCATGGTCACTGAAATATTAGCTTATATGAATATCACATTTATTGTACAAACAGCGAACTGCTTATGAATAGTTTCCTTCAGATATAAATCTATGCTTAAATATTCATTTGAAAGCGTGGCAAAATAACCATTTATGATCCTTGTGAACCAATGGTCTGTGAATGTGAATACAATGAGAACTAGACAAGGATTCGAATAATATGAGCTCGTCTCCATCTTGGAGATTCTCGTCAATAGCTTACAATCTAAGTAATAACAAAATGTGAACATTCAAAAAAGTTCACACACATTTATCATGTTGGCAAGAAATCTCAAGTTGGTACTTGCTGAAGATTGACATCAGTTGGACAACGCTTAAAAATCTGCAGGGCAATAGAAAGTTGTTTCGTTTCTACCACTGGATCTTTATCACTGAGATTCTAGGTCGGAATTCATTGGTCGAAATCTACTTACTTCTGTCAATTCGTGATATAGCGCGGTTTATCATCCAAAGCCATCGTTGAGTATTTTTCCTCACGTCCTACTTGATTTACCCGCCAATCACAACTTCTCATTGAGACTTTGGCGCTGTATTCGATTTGTGAATGGTCATAGGTGTACACTGCTGAGGAACTCCGTATTAGGACAAGACAGCTGCTAAGTGCTTCCAGGTTTTCAGTGATTCTTCAAATGATATCAGTTTGTCAAAAATATTAACATCAAATCAATAAATCTTCACAAACCTCCAAATTGACAAGAAATTATTGATAGAAATGTATTGCATGAATTTCCAAACATCATAAACAAATTAAAGAGGAGGAAATCGTAATCAATGTTAAGAAGGTTGTCTATTGATAAGATTTGAAAATCCTGGTTCAGTCATAAAGAAAAGACATTCATTGAAGAGTAACTCCTTTCAACGACTCATTCTCAAGCTGTACAATCGTATATATTTATCTAACATTTACTCGGCGCATAGAAGGAATGTTCCAAGAAGCTTGTAAACAAAATCTAGTCTTTTTTTAGTTTAAGATCAGGAAGTTCAGAAAGCAATTACTTAATATACAAATAAGACTTAATGAACCGTAATTAACTACGTATCATTTGGAAGAACTGAGTACATTTCAGCAATGTAAAATTATACTTGTAGGATAGAAGGAGATCTTGTAAGGGAAGGAACCATTACCAGGTAGTAATGGAAGGAAAGAAAACATTTTCCAAAGGTAAACTCCTTAAACTGATCACGTTTTGTTTTAAGTCTAACAACTGGATAAACATTTTTTATATACAGAGTTCAGACTATAAAGTATAAAATCTCCACCACTTCTGCAGTATGGATAATTTTTATACATGTGTCTTTCATATCATCACCATATATTCTGTAGAGAACATTGAAGTTAAACTACAGTTCCATCCGGTGTCTTGATGATGATATGAATATTCTTCAAAGAGATGAAAATGTCAATTGAAACAAAAGACTAGCAAAATGGAAGGTTTACTTTCAAATATGTTTACATATAGGTTAGTAAAGTTCAGGTAGAGTTGAAGAAATCATAATCTTCTCAGTTCTCTCTTTATGCATATATAAAATGTGGTTAGGGTCAAGGTTAGAGTTTCATAGATTTACTAATAAAATAATTTTGTTTTCCACATATAACTCTAATACTAATTCTCTCATTATTTTATAGTACCAGCAGAACTATAAGAATGAAATTAAAGATGTGGAAACAAATTTTCTTCAATGTATTTAATGAGAAGATTTCTAAAACAAAACATCAAAGTAAATACAAAAAACAAACATGAATAAAGCCATTTAATGAATGTTTACTTTTACCCTTTATTTGATTTAGTTACATTATTCGTGTATTGGTATTCAATGCAATCTAATATGAATAAATATAAGCCAATTTCTAATTCGCCTATTCATAAGATTTCCTTACCAATCAACACAGAAAACCGTGAAAAGTATGCATATAGTGAAGGAATAAGAGATTCATTTACTAATCTACCCATCTAAGAGTTTAATCTAATGGAGATTTAGCAGTATTTTATTAAAAAATACTTAATCTGTATCTTAAACAAAGGTACGTGAGCTTTTTGTGAAACAGTCACTCTAGGAGATGATATATTATCTCCAACAAAGGTAGCAGACATAGATCATGTATAATAATAATGTACCACCGATAGCTTTGCATTCTGCTGTGCACCTCACTGGTATGTAGACAAACGCACAATTACCAGTCACCACAAGCACTCCAACAAAAGAAGAAGTGAAGTCCCGAACACCATAAAGTTGCTGAAATCCACAAATGCAGTAGCAACAAATGGAATCCCTCCACAAGCACTGAAAACAGACACAGAGACAACACCAGACATACTCACACCACTACTACACAAGGTTCAGACGGAAGGAAGGAAGGAAGGACACCTGCTGATCGACTGTGGGAAGGGCTGCTTTGTTAAACTCAAAAAGAAGGATGAGTGACCTGAGTGTTTTGAAGAACTGGTGAGGAATCATGCTCCACTCCCGAACACCCCAAGCAAAATATTAAGCGACATCATGCTGGAGAGACTAAATGATGCGCTGGATTCAAAATACGATGGGAACAGGCAGGCAGGCAGGCAGCCGGCTTGCTGGCTAGCTGGCTGGCTGGCTGGCTGGCTGGCTGGCTGGCTGGCTGGCTGGCTGGCTGGCTGGCTGGCTGGCTGGCTGGCTGGCTGGCTGGCTGGCTGGCTGGCTGGCTGGCTGGCTGGCTGGCTGGCTGGCTGGCTGGCTGGCTGGCTGGATTCAGGAAGAACAAATCATGTGCAGATCAAATCGCAACAAGACGCAAAGCAACACAACGCAACACTATGCATCATCATCATAGAACAGAGCATAGAATGGCACTCCACTCTACCTGCACCTCCACCTCACCTCCATCAGTTTTGAGAGGGCATTCGGTCGAGGCATCGACAAAGAAGCAATTTAGTGGGCAGCTGCTTCAACACTACTGTTTCAGTGCCACAAACCTGTATCAACCTCATTCGACAGCAGCTACACGCTATACGATGTTACATGCCGAGTGATTCACAATGGAAAGCTGAGTGATGCGTGTGAAGTGAAGAGAGTTTGACAGGTAAGACGAGGTTGACTACTATCACCGATCATCTAGGTGATTGTGGTGAAGTGGACTGTATCATGTGAGGAAATGTGAGGGGTGAGAATGGGGGGATACGCTGGGTGGACGGATGAAAGGCCTGCAGAAGATTTGTATTTCGTCAATGATGATTTATGTCTGATGTCTTGTCACACAAACTCGAATATCTACAGGCGAAAACAAACAAGTTGACAGAAGAGGCGAGGCGAGGCGAGGCGAGGTGAGGTGAGGTGATGCAGCGAAGACGGCACTTCCTTCAGATGGACGTAGAGAAGACGGAGGGGATGAAGATACCCAACCAACAACAGCAACAACAACAATAAGCACCAAACACCATGAACGGGAGAAATGGAAAGGAAGTTTTCTCTCTCACCCACCTGCCCAACTATCTACCTACCGACCCACCTATCTACACACGTAGACAGCATCTTTTCGGCCACAAGCAGTGGTGCAGATGACGACGTCAAAGCCAGACAGAATCGGAAAGACAGCAAGATAGGCTTCCCTACATTAATAAGAAATCAAGGTGGAGATCTACTCCACTGCACTGCACTGTACTGCATTGCATTGCACTGCACTCAGCATAAAGCCTGAACGAGATCCGGGTTCTCAACACTCATCTGAGTCAAGTCAGTGCTTCCATGTGATGGTTGAGAGAATTGGCGCACTACGAAAAGCATTTCCAACAAACTGCAGACACACATCAACAGCTGCTGCCTACGCCTGCGCATACAACCACACTCACTCGGTACTGAAGATGGAAATCAGATGGCCAGAATAATAAGAATAAGCAATAAGGAATGCTGGATCGCCTCGCAACCAACCAACCAACCAACGAAGAATCGATCGTCCAACAAATATGCAGAAGGAGAATGTGGAGATGGATTGGATTGGATTGGACATAGACTGAGGAGACTATTTGGGGACATCACGCACCATATCAGGACAGACCATCGAGTGGAAGTTGAATGGGAAAGGACGAGTTGGTCGTCTGAGTGGAGGTTGACATTGATGGAGAGATTGTGTGAAGAAGAGATGAAAGTTGATGGGGAGTGGTGGATTCAGGTTGAGAAGACTGGAGAGAAGAGAGTGAAATGGTGACGTTCTATTGAAGTCCTATGTTTCACTAGGAACTCAAAGGACAAATGATAATCATAAATTCAAAATTGTCAGGGGTTATGTGCCGAGCGTCATTTATTCGAGTTTTACGGTCATAATTTCTGCTCAGCAGTTTTACAGTGACCCTGGACTGGTTGATTTCCGTAGTCACTTTAGAAAATGCTATAAATAATCGTTTTCTGAGTGGCATTCAACACCAACTGACGTCATTTTGAGAACCCCTGAAAACGTGGTAGCTATGGATAACTGTTTCTTCCAACCATTAAACTCCTCAGCAGTGTGTACCAGAGTTCCTCCAAATCATGATAATCACATTGGGCACTGTCAAAAACTCTTCATGTGGTGTTCAAAATAAATTAACATACAATAGTCAAGTAGAGATAATGTATCTTTGTAGGAAAATGTTTCCATATCCTAAGAAGTGGACTACGTAAGGTGTTAACTGTACGCAACTCAAACCCAAATATATTGTATCATCGTAAGCAGTTCTATATGACTCTCCTATTTACTTTTTCTCTTGCGTTATAGAACTACATTCCAGATAATTTTGAAAAAAATACAACAGACTGGAGTTCGTGATATAGTATCTTATGAAAATAGAGCGTTCTAAGACCGAAATACAAAAACAGATGGTCTGTTAAATACCTGCCTAGTTATTTCTACGTAGAACTGAATCCTATTAAATTTCACTGGATTAGAACTACTACTGATTCACTTCTCCGTGATACCTTAATCGGAGTTAAAAGTCGATGATTAGCAAAACGGGAATTTGATAAATTGTAGTGCATATCAACCCACTGTGAAGCAGTTTTATTCAACTGTTTTCCTTCTGGTACCGCAAAAATATTAGGTGAATTGAATGCCTATGCGTTGGAATACTAGGTCTACTATTTATTGGAAGAAAAGCATCCTGCAAATAATTTCCCACCGAATATGTTTCATCAAGTTCATCCCTATCAAATTTTTAATCCTGTAATTATGTCTTGTAAATGTATCATGTAGTCTCGTATGTTTTTAAAATGTTTTCAAGCTGTCTCTTCTCAAGCTAAAAATAAAACAAAGGAAAAACGTTACGTTGGTAAAAAATGGACTTATAAATACACAAGACTCTAGAACATTGCTCTTCTTAGAATACCAATATCGAATTGCAGATTTTGGTACTGGCTGAATAAGCTGCCACCACCTAAATTTCCCTATATTTCCTATTCACTCATCAATTCATATCAGAAGTCAAAATTGGCTGGGTAAAATGCCTCAGTAACAGGGACTGAAAACTTACCAGCAAAACGGAAAATCTCAAACAGGGAAACAGATTGAGGACAACTTACACATCAACAATTATCTTCCTAAATCAATTTATTAGTTCTTTAGAAATCGTAAGAAAAATACAACGAATATTAGTAACATAGGTGTTAATAGTTGTAATAATAGTATCATTAATAATGGTGGCAATACTGTGAATAAAAAATGGTGAACCTCTAGAGTATTATCATACAAGGAAAGCATCTCAGAGATATTATGTAGAATTCTCAATGAGACTGGGATTAGAGTGATATTTGAACTCACAAACTTACTTAGAAATAAACTTTGTAGGTTAAAGAACCAACTGATTCAACTAGGTAGGATAATTTAGTTTACTAAATCTCTTGCAAAGACTGCGAGGTCAAATACATAGGTCAACATAATTGACCAGGGTTAGTTAGATTATTTTAGCACAAAACCCCAGCTAGGTGGTAGTTGGTAGATGCTATTAAGATAAGGAATTAATAAAAAAACTCATCCATACCTATGCATGCAATTACAAACAAACACACAATAGGATGGGACAAGGTGAAAATCATAGGGAAAGACAAGACGTGATTGTAGTCTGGCTAGCAAAGGGATGAAGCAAATGTGTCTTCAGTTCAATAACAGAACACCTCATGAACTCAGGTCACTTACTTCCTTTACAGCATTCATTCAAAATTCTCAGTACGGTTTGATCAAACCACTCGAAGGGAGTAAGATTAAGGCATTTGTTTATAGGTGAAGCATTAGCCATTCAGAAGTTAAAACCAGTGTTATGCGTCCAATAAAGGTATGTCAAACCTTTATCTTTGACATGGTCATCATAAAGCTTTGACTGTCATAGATTCATTTTGTATTAGGCAATTATATATGTATTTAATAATTTAATAATTCCCATTGTAACATTAAGAACAAGATATTCAGCGAAGAGACTCTTTTCAACGAATTTATTTTCAAGCTGTACAATCGTATATATATGGTATTTGGAAAAAATTATATCCTGTGAGGAAAACTAAACACTATATGGTGATGACAGTAATAATAGAGCGGGTGATGACATAGGCATTTATGATTATGATAACAATTGAAGTGCGAATGATAACAAATAGATTATGTAATATATGGAATGGTACATAGAGAGTATATAACTCAGAAGGGGGTGAAAAAATTGTTGAAAATGGTAAATCAATTAAGTATTATGTAATGGCATTAGACAAATTGGACAAGATGAAGTCAATGTTTTCTAAAAGGATTAAGACAATTAAGTGAAATAACACCGGAAACTAGTTGAAGTGAAGGCGATTATAATAACAATAATAGTGATAAAGGAAGGATACAAAGGTTAAATTAACAAAGTGGGAGGGGGAGCTAATG